TTCAATCAAATAAGTTTATTGACGTGTCCAAGCATGAGTAGTGAGTAATTCTCTATTGCTCCCTTCGGATGGGGAAGTAGATGTGTGAAAGTTTATATGTGGCTTTAAGTGTAGCCATTTATGGTGATGATTAATACTTCATTTACACTTCACTTCAAACATTTAATTTGTTAAAATCTATTGTGAATTATGAGTCTCAGAATAGATCATAATAGAATCAACTAAGTTAATCACATTAGCCCAAGAGAATAGGGATATATCCTTCAGGGTAATGCAAACTTATTGGGAGAATGCTATGATTGGGATAGTAATTGGATTTATGGAAGTAAGTCTAATTTCTAGCCAAACTTCTTTATACTACCAGAAGGATTAGGATTTTATTTAAATTACTTTCACATTCAAAGGTCTTATTTGAACATTTCAAGGGAAAAATTTTAAGTACTTGAAAAACCCTTCACCTTGTTTGTTATTAATTTAGAATTGATTTTATAGTATTTCATTAAATCAATATTTTAGGCTAGGATCAATATCTATATGTTAGAATTTTCCTTACTTAAATTCATCTCATTCATTGTGAGAACGACAACCAAACTCCTATCCCGGTACTAATGATATGTGGTGCATACTTGCATGAACAGCCCGTGCTTTGCTGCACTTGCTACCCTCATTCTCATTGAGATTTTCCTGATTTGCTTATACAACTCGCTTGCACATGACCTGTTGTGCCCCTGCGCTGGGTTCGGTGCTCTTGCACCCGCCCTTATCTAGAAGATGCATAGTCAGCTTCATTTTTCCCGCCAGTTCCATCATAATCTATGAATTTTATTAATAATTTTGGGTATGTACTATGTGATGACCTCCATTAAATTTTTTTTTTGGTCGAAGAGAACAAAATCAAGGCTTGTGTCTCAAACCTTTGCAATGGCCATCAGAGAGCTTTCACCTTGTCAGGCTTGGAGCTCATGCTGCTTTGAAATTCCTTCCTTAGATGTCTGAGGCCATCATATATTGTTGCTTCAAATTATTATATTAATTTGGTTTTGTGATAATACAAAACTAAAAAATAAAAGAGATGATGATATTTTCAAATCGAACAACTAAAAAATTCAACTTATTCACATACATCACTTTCAAAACTAAAATTTTACTAAACAACTACTTCTAGAACACTACCTTTTAAGTAACAAATTTTTCACAATAGCTTTTGAACTGATATTTCATACAACCACAATTGTCCAAAATTAGCCCCCCTTCCAATGACCACACCATATTGACCACCTTCAAATAACATCTTGTTAAACTCATAACTATCCTCATTACCCCAATTATATACCCTTTCTTGATGAAGAAAACTCATAGAGTTGATGTGGTAATGGGTTGAATCAAAAGTTTGTAAAGAGGGGCATGCAAACATTAAAAATACTATATGAGGAGGTTGAGTGAAAGCATGTGACTTGATTCAAATAAAATGGAATAAATCAAACACATAGAACTTTAGAGTATTTTGATCAAACAACTTGCGTTCAATATGTGATAATTCGAGGAACTTTATTTGGTTATTAGAAAATCATATGGTGTTTGATCTCAACTGAGTGAGCCATGATGGGAGAATTGGGAGAAAGATTGCAACTGATTTCCAGAATAATATGAGAAATACTCTTATATTGTGGCTTATAATCAAATTTAATAAGAGTGATCAAAAGAAAAAGAGGATGAAGAAATGCTTGAACGTGGACATGAAGAGAATGATGGTTTCTCGTGTTCCCGATAAGATTTTTAGAAATGCAAAAAACTTTTGAGGTTAAACTTTTTCCTCCATTCTAAGCTACAACGGCATGGTGTTGGGTGAGATTTTAACACGTGTAACTAGTGAAACATTAAACATCTATTGTTACTAATAATTATCCTTCATTACTTTAAGCATTGTATTGAGGTACTCTATGAATGCTTCAAGAAGTTCAGAAGTAATTCTTCAAGGAGGGCAGTGGTTATAGGGAAAATTGCAAATATAATGGAGATTGCAAAGACTGGCATGACCCAAAATAGAGCCACATTAAATTATGTTCAATGTTTAATGAAATGCCAGTGACATCGGGAAAGAGATGTCATTGTGATTGTTATAAAAAAAGTGAATTTAGTTCCCCCACTAGCGAACTATGTCAACTTGTAGGTGATGAAACCATATAGTTTACATATGTCAAGGAACCATTGCATCAAGAAAGACTTCATTAATGATGAAGGTAGATGATGAAATAACAAGTTAACATGCTTTAAGTTCTCCAAAAAATAACATAAAATATATGAATAACATTTTCTCCCTTTTCAATAATCCCTAACAATGATGTTGTTTGTTCTAATTGATTCCCATGATAATACTCGTGCATTCAAATAGAGGATTTGCATTGCAAGATTAAGGAGATCATTATGTGTTAGGATGTATGGATTAAGGAACTTGAGTATTTCAAAATAGTATTCCTATCAAAGCAAGCCAATATGATCAGGATGAGAGAAATGACGCAGGATCTCAAAAAAAAAAAAAACTAATGTTGAAAGAGATATGATCAAATGGGCATGCACATGCTGAAATATTTTAAAATAAAGACTAAGGCCTCAAACATGGTAGGTTGAGTGGTCAATTAGTTTTGAGAAGTATATATTAGGCTGTGGCATGTCGAGGAAGGCTAAGCACCTACAATGATGCTACATGACCATGATAGCTAATTGGAGGACCTTAAGGCAAAATCGAAGTATAATAATCCTAAAAGAGAATTTCACTTGAATGTGGTCAAGATGTATTAAATAGAAGGTGTGGGTACTAGCGCGCTTGGAATAAATTGTTGATATCATTTTTAATGAGTATGCCACACTCTCCTTTTTTTTAGTCTATTGGATCACATCTTAGAATAAGAATTCCTTTCATATGACCCTTACCAAACATTTCTAGTGACTATGTGGATTCTGAACCAAACCCAAGGATAATACCAACCTATATGTCTTTGTTTAAAATGAGCTTAATTTTGTCATTAACTCGCTTAAAGTGAAGTTCAAGTAACCACAATTAGGCCATTATTAATCAAGAAACATACTGAACGAATCATTTTGACACAAGGAACCCCCCCTAGATTACCTTTAGGACTTTTGAATCCTATGAACCTAAAACTTGAACCAAGGCTTTGAACCAGTCTTACAAGCCTTTGAATCACAAATATGAAGACAAAAACATAACATGACATGCATATGGTGCACTAAAAATATTCAAATAATTCTGACCTAAAAAGAATAAAATATTAAAACTAAATTACGAACTACTTGTAGTTATGAAATTTCTAAAACATAATGACTACTACAATCTTCTTAAAACGCGATAAACTTTTTATTTAGTATTATACTAATTAATATTACAATCATTAATAATACTTAGATTTCATGGCATATTACTTTGAAGTCATTTAAATTTTAATAATTAAAGAAATAACATATTTACAAATTTCATTTCAATAATACTTAGAGTTCACCTTTTCATAGAATTTAAAATTTGAATTTTTTTATGTATATATTTTAATAAAACATCGACCCTTAAAAATTATATAATAAATATAAAAATTTTGACGCTAAATATGTAAAATAAATAAGAATTATATGATAATATATTAGTTAGAATATAAATGGTTCAACTTATTTGTTGCTCTCAAATTATTTTTACTAGTTTTGTTAAGGATGATTTGCACGCATACCATCATATTCTATGTATTTGCATATTCAACAACTAAAATTTAAGTTTTATATTTTATTTGTGATATAAAATATTTGAAAATAAAAGGTTGGAAGTAGATATGTAAATACATAAAAGTTGTGTGATTTAAATGTAAAAACTAAAATAGAGGTCACGGCCGCCGGCCCTCTGGGCTCCTATCGCCATTCCGGAACCAAAAAAAACCGCGAAAATCGTCCTCATCTGCTCCGAAAGTCCCTCAGATCCGTAGGTTACCACCGCAGACCGATGACGCCGCACCTCTCCTTCTTCTCTCGGCCTATTACAGCATATCCAAATCCGTTAATGGCCATACGTAGGTTCTGTTATCCCCATCTTGAAAGCGAACCATCTCCCTAACCCTAAACCTATCGTATGGAGAAGGTTTCCGACCCTTCCAGGTTTGGAGAGGTCGCCAACGCTGCTGATGGCGGCGGCCAAGGAGGAGGAGAGGAAGAGAGTGAGATGGACGTGGACGACCTGGTCCGTGAGCTTCTCGAGACATTCGAGACTGTGCTGTCATTTTCCGACTACCGCCGCACGCAGAAGAAAGAGTGCTATAACCTCATTCGCCGGATGAAGCTGGTCGTTCCATTGCTCGAAGAGATTCGCGATTCGGAGGTTCCTGTGCCGGATGGGGTCTGCTCCAAGCTCTGCAGCCTCCGAGCGGCCTTCAAAGCTGCTAAGAAGCTGCTCAGATGCTGCCATGACGGAAGCAAGATCTATTTGGTAATTTTTTTTTTCTAAAAAATCGGTGTTTTGAGATAGTCGATTTAATAAAAGCTCGTGTTTTTGTATGATTTTCTTCATCAGGCTTTGGAGAGCGAGGCAGTGATGGGCAGATTTCACTTTGTTAATGAGAAGTTGACTCAGGCGGTGGAAGACATGCCGTATAACGGACTTTACATTTCAGATGAAGCTAAAGAGCAGGTATTTGTTATGTTTATTGTTTTCTTTGGGTTTCAATTACCCTTTTGTAATTTATTACATTTTGTTCCTAATTTTGTTCTGACTTTGTCGGCCATTGTATTATCACTCAAGTTTTGGAGCCAGTTCATAATAAACATCTTTGCTTTTGAATATAATAACGTTGTAATTATAATCTATGATTGGTTCAAGTGGTGTTGTTCCACATGAAAGGCTATGAAATTTGTTAGGTAGAATGAAATTGAACTCTTGAAGGTCAATGTGTCTTTTGGTGTAATTGTTGGAATTTCATCAGAAACTTTAAAGTTATGTGTGCTCATATGGGAGCACTTTTGGGACAGGTGACTTATTGGGAATTTATACTAATGGGATAATATAGTGATTTCATTGGGCCAAAGCGAGCAATATTGATGACTCAATGTTCAAGTTGTTACAAATGGTATTAGAGTGTTACAAGAGATTGAAGATGAGAATTAAATGTGTTATAGACCAACGTTTTATGCTAGGGGAGCCATATTTTAAACCCTAGATGGGGCAAAGGATAAATAGTGGGAGTCATCTGTTAAATTTGTGGGGATCATATTTAGCATGTTATCTGCATGGTGGTTGATTTTAAACTAAGAATATTGACGAGGGCATCAGTTACTTAAGCATGAGAGATTATGAAAACTCTTAAGTAGAACGAAGTTATGTTCTTAAACATTGCAAAGTATTTCTTTCTCATTTATATTTTAATTTTGAATTTACTTTTTTCATAACAGGATTTCGTTATTTCTTGTCTTTCTTCAATTCAAATATAAGTGTGTGAATTTTTCATTGTGATCATTTTTTTTATAAGTTTAAATTAAATCATTCCATATTGATACACAACAAATTACTAGTTTATGATGAAACCTATAAATACAGTGGAGTGGACATTTTTTTTTAAATAAAGAAATATTGAATCATATCTATTCACGCAAATATTAAAAACGAAGTTAAGTTTTTAAACATTGCAAAGTATTTCTTACTCATTTCTATTTTAATTTTGAATGTACTTTGTTCATAACAGGATTTTGTTATTTCTTGTCTTTCTTCAATTCAATTTTAAGTGTGTGAATTTTTCATTGTGACTATTTTTCTTACAAGTTTAAATTAAATCATTCCATACTGATACACGACAATTTTCTAGTTTATGATGAAACCTATAAATATAGTGGAGTGGACATTTTTTTTGAACTAAAGAAATATTAAATCATATCTATTCACCCAAATATTAAAAAATGAGTAAAATGTAAAATAGTCCCCCCAACTTTTTATATAGTATCATTTTACTTCCATAGTCTATAAAAGTGTCAAATTAGTCCCCAGAGTAGTTATATTGGGGCCTAAATAGTCGTCCGTGCGGACTATTTCAGCCCATATTAAAAGATTTTGGAGACTAAATTGATGTTTTTTATAAACTCTGCGACTAAAATGACCCACTACAAAAAGTATGAGACTATTTTGACAATGCCTCATTAAAAAATCATCTTGACATTTGTAGGTCACTTTTACAACTTTGCTACTTAAATCCATTGTGCATAAAACCCGCTACACTTCAAAACAACAGTTTACTCTCTGGTTTTCAGGTGGAGCTAATGTGCTCTCAGCTCAAGAGAGCCAAGAGAAGAACAGATACTCAAGACATGGAGCTCGCCATGGATTTGATGGTTGTGTTATCCCAAAAGGAAGAAGATCGAAATGCAGACAGTTGCATACTTGAACGGCTTGCAAAAAAATTAGATTTGCAAACTCTCCCCGACTTGGGAGCTGAAACAATGGCTGTAAAAATGCTCATAAAAGAAAGACATTCACAAAATACGGAATCCACACAGCAAATAATAGATCTTCTGAACAAATTCAAACAAAATGCCGGCATAGAAGATAGTACCGACGTGTTAAATGAGGTGATTTTACCCAAATATTTAGAGAAATGCCCTTCCTTGATGATTCCAAATGACTTCCTTTGCCCAATATCTTTGGAAATTATGACTGACCCTGTTATTATTGCAACTGGGCAGGTATACCTCTCACTCCAGTTGTTGAATTCTTATCTTTGCTATTTTGTGTAATATATGTTGATATGTTTTTTCTTTTTGTTATTTGGAAGATTTACATTTGTACTGCTTAATTCTTATGTATTTACATATCTAACACCAAAGCTTCAATTTTTACTTACATTTCACCTTGTGCATGAAAAGGTGCATTTCAACTTTTTAAAATTAAAAAAAGTTGGTATTTTTATGTGATATGAAAGCTTTGCGTGGGGTAAATCTAAAAAAAAAAGACAACTTTGTGTTAGAAATGTAAATACATATGAATTGGGTGGTATGTATGTAAATGCTCCTTGTTATTTTTTCCCATTTGGAGAAGACATACGAGAGATCAAGCATACAAAAATGGCTGGATGCCGGGCACCGGAACTGTCCGAAGACCAGACAGCCTCTGGCTCACCTTTCTCTCGCCCCCAACTACGCTCTTCGCAATTTGATTTCTCAATGGTGTATGAAGAATAAAGTGGAGTTGAAGAAGAAAGTAGTATTGCCCGATTCAAAGCCCAAGAACTACAAGGAGGAAATCGAAGCTCTGGTTCAAGATCTCTCCTCCTTACATCTCGATGTGCAGCGAAAATCGGTCAAGCGAATTCGAATGCTTTCGAAGGAGAATCCTGAAACCCGAATCTTGTTTGCCAAGTGCGGCGGAGTCCCCTCCCTGGTCAATCTTCTCTCCTATCCTGATTCAAAGATTCAGGAGAATACTGTCACTGCTCTACTCAACTTATCCATCGATGAAGCAAACAAACAGCTTATAACTAAAGCCGGAGCCATCCCTCCCATCATTGGCGTATTGAAAGGCGGCACAATGGAGGCTCGGGGGAATTCCGCCGCCGCGCTTTTCAGCCTATCCATGCTCGATGAGAACAAGGCGGTGATTGGGGATTTAAATGGCATCCCACCATTGATAGATCTCTTGCAGAACGGAACGCTCGCTGGTAAAAAGGATGCCACCATTGCTCTCTTCAATCTATGTTTGAAATCGACGAACAAGACAAGAGCCATCGAAGCCGGAATTGTAAAACCTTTGCTTCAAGCACTTGATGATGAGAAGTTAGGCATGACTGACGAAGCTCTCTCCATTCTGTTGCTTCTTTCATCAAATTCTGATGGGCGTGCAGAAATAGGAGAACTCTCCTTCATTGAAAAGCTTGTTGGCTATATTAAAAATGGATCACCTAAGAACAAAGAATGTGCTTTATCTGTTCTTCTTGAGCTCTGCACACACAAGTCATCAGTCATGTTGGTTTCACTTCAATTTGGTGTTTATGAACATTTATGTGAAGTTGCAGAAAGTGGAACACAGAGAGCTCAGAGGAAAGCCAAGTCTTTGCTGCAGCTCATGAGAAAGAGTGGCCAAATTTCATAAAGATTGTATTTTTTTAATCCGGGATTCTTGGAAAACTTTATAGATGAAATATTATGTTGTTTTAATGATAAATTTGGTTCAAAAGTGGGGTTTGTGTCATAAATATTGATGTATTGCTGTTAAAATGTTTGTTGGAAGGGTGATGTAAAGTATTATAAAGGCATTAAGGACATATAATTTGAATGTTAGAATTCTTTTTTTTCATAATATGGTGTTTGTCTTTTAATATCTGCTAAAAGTCCATATTAATTGAAAATAAGGTCCTAAAACCTAGATTATATATATATATATATATATATGGAAGATTTGAATGCATGCCAGTCAATTCCTATATATTTACCTATCTAACATCTAAAACTTTAATTTTTTCATACATGCCTTTTGCTCACAAGTCGAAGTGATTGTATTCACTCCCCTCCAAAAGATAGCCTAGCCCTGTGGGAGGCAGCCATAGAAAAAGGCTACCATGACTAGTCAGGATGTATGTCAATTCATTATTAAAGATGTCAACAAACATTAGAGACTCAATGTTTTCACCTGGACATCAGGGATAGGCATTGTACCGATAACGCCTGACACTCACATCGTGTTCTTCTCATTAAGACAACTAGGGAAGCGTCGTATAGTATGAGATGTTTCTTGTTTATTTTATATTATTTTTCTCTCTATGTATAAAAGATAAGGAAAAAAACAGAGAAATGAGATCGATTCTTGAACCTTTTCAGCTACCAAAAAGCAAAATATCTCTCTCTCTCTCTCTCTCTCTCTCTCTCTCTCTCACTCTCACGCTCTGAAATTTGATAACTTAGAAAACCTTTGAGGAGCAATTTTCCTGCTTAACAGCTTACCACATATAAGAATTTCCTTTGATGACTCACATCCATCTCTTTTTTTTCATTTTCCCTATCATAATAGTAGGGGTGTAAACGAGCCGAACACGAGCGAGCCATCGTTTATATTTCGAGCTCAAAAACTGTGTTCGTGTTCGACTCGTTTGTAACGAGCCGAACACGAGCTGTTCAAGAACAAAGAGTCTTTTTAACAACCCTAATAATATAGTCATAAGACAATAACAATTTGAGAAAGATTTAAAAATTATTATTTATATTAAAACATCATTTGAATCTAATTTAATAGTTTTTATTCTATTTTTATAATCAATATTTTAATTGATTGTAAGTCTTTGTAGCCTTGTAGTCAATTAATTTTTTTTTTTGAATATTACTTTA